TCCATCAAATGTCAGTTTAGAAAGTATTAATCAATGTCTGCGTAGTTGATCTTTTTCCCATCAATTAGAGCGAGGGGGCCAAGGAAAGAAGCTTTTTTCCCCTCCTCTCTTGCTTTTTTAACTAGGGGTCAGAGCTTCTCTCTGGCAATTCTGTCCTCCGGAGACAAAGCCTCAGTAAGCCGCAGTTTTTTGTCACGTAGGAACCTGCTCCCTTTGGCGCTCTTCCAGACAGCATCACGGATGCGGCGAAGTGCAAATAGAATGACAGATCTGTGGGGACCATCCTGTTTTTTAGGGCCGACACGATGGGCAATGTCGATCCCCTCCTCCAGGTATTCCTGCCCAGGTGCAACTTTTCCAATCACAGTAATCACCACCCTTCTCACATCCTCGTTGGCCTCCTCTTTCAGCCCGTGCAGCTTTAGCGCCCATCTCCAGCTATAACGCTTACAGTCGGCGACTCCTTCCCTCAGGATTCGGTTTTCTTTTTTCAGATGTTCAATCTCTTGCTTCGTGTTTTTCAGTACTTCTTTATGTTGCTCAACGTCCACCACAAGTTGTTGAACAGTAAATGAAAGTTTCTCAATTTGCTTAGAGGTTTCAGTTGTTGTCAGTTCGATGACCGAAATTTTATGGAAAGAGTTGTCAATTTTTTGCCCTAGTTCACCACAACTTTTGGCTAAATCTTGGATAGCAGCCAAAATGTCCGCATGGCCATTCTCTTCGCCGTCACCATTACCATTACTGTGTTCGCGCTTCTTCTTCTTTGTGACAGGTTTCTTAGAGATATGAGGTGAGGTGGAAAGTATGTCACCTGTGTCAACGTCAAGTTTATTCGATACATTGTCTTTACCCGAGTCTTCCATTGGAACTTCTGTGGTGCTGACGTTAGAGTTGTCTTCCATTGCTTTCACTCTCTGGCGTGTGTTCCCGTATTGACAAAACTTTAGCCTAACGCTTACCGCCAGTTGTGACTTTTCCCTTTTGCCGGTTCTCCTTTTTTAATGAAGGCTATATGAGCATACTTTCACAACACTGCTGCCTCGTAGCACCAAAAATGGTTTCCCTTACTTTCAAGCCATCATTACACCGGTTTCAAGTCAAAGTAATTAGGTTGTGATATCAAAAACCTCCACTTTTCTGACAGAAGAGTTCAAAACAGCCTCCTCAGACAAGCTCATCAGCATGACAGTAAGTCCCATCATTCCGCTTATCACTGCGTCATCAACCTACGCCTTTGTTATTGTAAGAGGTCAGCGCCCCTAGCGGCGACTATATATTGTAGCTTTAACTATATGCTACATTTGCCAAAATAAGCACTGTGCAACACTGCAATGTACCATACTCCACAATGTAGTGTGCTTAACACAACATACAATTTTCTGTGTGATTTAACCAGACAAAATATCAACTGGGATTTTTCTTTACTCATTATTTGATCAGACTGCAAATGTTAAGACATTTTTAAACCAAATTTGATTAGAAATTGAAAAAACATCTATTGGAATTGTAAATGAATTTGTAAATGAATTTAATTCACTAAATTGAGCATGATGGCCATGTGGCAATGTAGCATGCTTACTTTAAAAACCTTATTTTGGGGTGCTTCTCAGTTTTTATTTGTGCATCCTTATTTCCTTTCCTCGCTTCCGTTCCTCACGTCTCTGCTCCACCCCTGTTAGGAGGCGAGGGAAGGATGCAAGGATAGAAAATGAGATGAAGGAATCAAATCAAATCTTTTTCGTATATTTGTATACTTATTTGTATTAGCAGTATAAAGTGCACACTATTCAGTAGCTAGCCATATTCTTAAATTCTGAACATAACCAGTGTATATTAAGTATATTTATTCTGACTTAAATGAGCAGTGTTGGGGTAACACATTACAAGTAATGCGAGTTACGTAATCAGACAACTTATTTTTTCTAGTAACTAGTAAAGTAGCGCATTACTTTTAAATTTACAACAAAATATCTGAGTTACTTTTTCAAACAGTAACTCAAGTTACTTTGTTTCTATTTATAGATTGATACCCCTTCTGTCCTTGAGGGAATTCAGGGGTAAGAGGAAGAGGCGTTGTGTGAAGTAAGAGTGGTGAACTTTCTTCTCCTGCATCCTATTTTTCTGCAATCCAGAATGGGAGTACAACTGAAAGGTTTGTTTGAGCTGCACTCTCAACTGTACAGATGTGAATTTGCATGTCCTTCCACCTGCAGGCTTGTTCATTTTGTTTTTGGTGTGAAAGGGCTTTTACATTTGCCAAAAATAAGACGAGAACAAGTTTCATCCATAAAAAGTAGCTAGTAGCCAATTAGTTACTTTTTAGGGAGTAACTCAATATTGTAACACATTAATTTTAAAAGTAACTTTCCCAAACACTGTATACGAGACTTGCTAGTCATTCATTTATATTTACGCAAATATTTTACTTTATTTGTAGTTTTCATTCATTACAGTCGCTTATAAATAATTATGCAAACATTTCTGGAAGCAGTACAATTTTAAATCTGTCCCAGTCCTGACTGACATGCTGCACAGTCTGTGGAGTCTTTGACCTTTCAAAATGATAACTGATATTTTGTGAGCTAGACAGAGCATGGCACATCTGACCTAAGGCTTTTTGTGGCATTCTCCATAGGGCAGTGAGTGAGTCAAATCAAGTTTATTGTCTTACACTTGACTGTAATGCAAAGACATGAATGAAATACTTTGGTGTCACAATGGAAGATAACTCAGTTGACAGTGACACTAGATTTCAGAGAACATATTATTGTCTGAGGAAGTATATAATGTATGTCTATGTCTAGATGAGACGGGTTTACTTCTCCCCCATCCCCTCCCCACCCCGGTGCTTAATACTTTAAATCGGGCACTGTAGTAACAAGTAATTTTTCCTGTAGCCGATTGGTTGAAAGGGTGTTAAAGCAACACCAAGTAAATTTTCCTCTGCGGTCGCCCTACAGGTTTGGAAGCGGAATTGTGCATTACCGCTGTCGTAAATAATTTAGCCTACCGCAGCCTACTGTCGCACGCACGCTCGTTGTTTATCCAGCACCGGCTTTGGAATGAACGATGTCCACAGACAAGGTAGAGTATAATGCATGATTTCATGAAAGTATGATGTATTGCGACATCAGAAACGAAGAAAAACAAAATAATGACTATTGTATTGCTTGACGTAAAGCAAGTCAGATTTGTAGTTTTCTTATGTCTCATTAGGACTACAGAAACTCGACCCGATCTGGCAATCTTACATAGCGTGGTTATAGCAGATATAGGACCGCAAAGCGGAGGCATAAGTGCCTTTCACCCTGTTACAACTTGATGAACCACAGAAACGATTTTGGAAACATTATTTGAAGGTAAAAAATCTTACTTAGTGTTGCTTTAACAGTCCTGAAGGGCTGAACTTTCAACATGTCAGACACATTTTGTTTTTCTTTTTCACCAGTTTGTCTAGTTTGAAAAGCAAAAAGCATGCAGGGTTGAAAAAAGGAACTGAAAAATGTAAAGAATCTGCTGATGACTCAAGGTAGAACATACTGGAACAACATACAAAATGTGTACAAAGAACAATTTATGAAATCTATTTAATTCAAATTCAGTTGATTTGTACAACCCAAATTGAAGTTAATTCTAAGTTATCTGAATTCTATACACCATTCAGTTATTCAGATAACTTAATTCTAAGTTATCTGAAGTTAATTGCACACTGTTTATGCACACACCAGAATATCCTCATTGTGTCTGCATCACTGGAATGGTTAATTAGCACTTAAAACGTTTTCTTGAAGTGACATACTGTAACTGTGACTTAAAGGTGGATGGTTTGGATTTATTACACAGGCCTATAATTGTGAAGTTCATTTAAAATGCCCAAATCTCAAACTTTCTGACTTGGAGCCTTTATCTGAGACAATCTTCGAAGAACTGATATCTACCTCTGGTACTTTTGGTGTCATCAATTTCTTTTCAATTTAATGCTGTGCATCTTTGTTTTATATAACGTTTTTAGCATTTTAAGTAAGATTGTGGTAATATTGTGATTGTTTTAATAACTAAATTTGAACTCTTATTGGACAGCATTTTATTGCACTTTATCTCCTGTCCAAAGATTTCTAGTGAAATATGGCATTATGTGATGTAAATATGTCAGCTCTGTACCATTTCATAGTACCTTTAACACTATTTCCATAAGGTTTAAATGTCTTGTAGTCACTCTTTCTCACATATTTACTGCCCAACCCCAGTCAGCAGACCCAACATGCTGCTTAGTATGGCTTTAGAAACCAGGACAGTCTGAACTTATGTGTAATGTCTTATGTCATTGTTGCTGAGGCAATAGTGCTCCCATCTGGCATGTTGCTGAGCCTGTTCACCACAAGAGTGACAGTTCATATGTCTTTCCTGCAGAGATTATAGCAAATATGTACCACAAAGAATATCTCACAGTCCTATCAAGGTAAAGAAGGAGAAATGGAATTAAAAAAACACAAGACACTTATTTCAGCACTCACGGCTCTTTGTTAGAATCGTCTATAGATGCTTTACATGTATACAGTGCAAATGCACAAGAGCACAATATACACCATTCAGTTATTCAGGTTTGTTACAGTGAATATAGACATTTTGTGTAAGTATGCTTGACTTCATGGTCCTTTAGACAGGGCTTGTTTGGACTCTGTATGCTGTCGGTCTTTGGAATAGATGATAATTATGACCTTAAGCCATGGGAAGAAGGCCAGGCATTTCAGAGGTCAGAACATCCACAGATTCAGAGAGGTCCGGTGATTCATACTCCACAAGAGCCTCAGGTGTTCTGATGATCATTTGGCTGAAATGTCCTCTCAAAACGGCCTTCACTGGTCTTTGTCTCCTCTCCTCTCTTCTCTCTCTCTCTTTTTAAATACTTGTGTGGTTGCTTGTGTATGGGTGATCCAATGGCATGAACATTTTAGGCCTATATGACTACCTTGACTATTTTGCCCTTTTTTTATGTCTTTTCTTTTTTTTTCTAAAATGATATGAACATCAAATGGAAAACTCTAAGTCCTGAGAGGATTTTGGTGCTGCGATGCTGAACACACTGTGGCATTTTTAGCTCAACATTGACCAGTCATCCATTGACATGGCTTTCATACAAAACTATCATACACACTCTAGTATCTAATCAATACAAAATTAAAATGCAACGGTAACACTTAATGTTGTTTAGACATAACCACACAAATATTGATTCTATCCATATAATTTTCTCAGATTTTTTTTCTCTCAAAATGTCCCAGTCCATTTAAACTTCTCCTTAATTCTGTTTGAATTTATTTTGCATCCCTTTTTAATCTATACATTTTTTTTAAATGCAGAGAATTGAATTGGGCACATAAAAATCACATAAAGACACATTTTTTTTGTTCTTTTTTGTTCAACTGATATAATCATAATAATTTCTCAGTGCGACTCAATAGAGCACCCCTAGTGTCGGGGAGATTTATCTCTATAGGTTAGTAGTACAGTATGCACAAGCTTTGATCGTAGCCTCTCATGGTCTTCTCTTCTTTCTTCTGCAAGTCCATAAGCCCCAACTGAAAAGACTCATCCATCCACTAACCATTCATTGGTCCACTTTGCTCTCCTTGATTCACTTTTCAAAATCATTTTCTTGATTTATTGGCTCTTCCTGGCTGCGTTGGATTTGGTCTTTGTGATGTAGGCTTCGAAGAAGAACTGACAGAAGAGCACAAAGTAGCTGAGGTACATGAGGGACGACCACACAATGTTCTGCACATGGGACGGGCACTCTTGGCCTTGCTGCATCCACGAATACACCAGGTAGTTGACCACGCAGCCCATCACCATTTGGGTGATCTGCGTCAGGGTGATGAACATGGCGAACTTGCGAGAGATTTTGAAGCCGGCGGCCCGAAGAGCGTAGTAAGAATACATGACGGCATGCACCAGATAGTTCATGGTCATGAACCAGCCCCCGCCGGCCACCATGTCCTTGTAGGAGTACCATGAGTAGAGCAACACTGTGATGTGATGATACCAGTGCAGGAAGATCAGCTTTTGCTTGCGTAAAACAATGAATAGTGTGTCTCCTGAAAGTATAAGAGCAAGAGACTGATTGTGAGAGAGAAACGAAAATGCTGGTTACTGTGAAACTATTGGCTGTCTCGGATATGCTATCTTGTTATTTTTGTGTTATTGATAATAGCAAGTAGAGATTAAGATATTCAATTAAACTTGCATGTTCTAGATCTTGTATATCTAATCAGGGCAAAGTGTTCCAATGCATTCACTAGACAAAACAAGTTTTATTTGGCCAATGTAGCAGTTCAAACTGTGAAAACACCACTGTGCAATGGTCAAAATGAAGCATTAAAACATTTTAAGTTGCACATTAGGTCGGTTTTTCTGCTGTTGTAGAGAAACATATTTGAAAACCCACCACCTGCATGCACCGACATAAAGACACTCACAGACATGACCTTACTTGGAAAATCCTATAGGATTTATGTATTTGAAACATTGTAATCGATAGAGTGTTGGTTATATTAAGTCTCTAAGTGCCATCTTAACTTGTTTGGCTTCATACTGTCAGAAGTTCATATTTTGAGACACACAACACACTGGTCTTTTTTCATTACCACCATTGTACTGGTGAATCCAAGGCCGAGATAGACCTAGTCATATTTTCTTGTCTTTAAAACAGTGTCTTCACCAGACATGATGGTTGTCGCGCCACACTTGATAAGCTGTCTACACTGGAAGTGTCAAAAATAAAAAAGGGTTCTATTTGCTTTTGTCGTGTCCCGCCACTCAAGTCTGGTGTAGACACTTTGTTTGGGTAGTTGTGACGTTTGAAATAGATTCGTCGTCTGCTTTACGTTTACCTGGCACTGGCAGTTCTTTCAGAAATTTGTCCATGCTTCGTGCAGAACTATTCATTGATATTTTTACACGTCTCAATTCTGACTCTTCAATCACGCCATCTAGTGGTATGTTATTCCATGAGAACTGCTACAAGTAATGAAAGACTGCTCAAGCGGGTACTGCGAGTCATCTTGTGGTAAAAAAAAAAAGTCAAATTAATATTTTGTGTTTAATTATTTACATATGTAGCAAGTAGCTACATAATAAGCAGCATCGTTTCACAGTGGGGTCCAATTTCAACCAATTAGGTCATTAAAGTTGCTGTGCAGAGAAACTATAAGTAAAGCCACATTGGCTCAACTAATGATGTGACATAAACTATTTTTTCATCCACATTTTTATGCGAATAGTGGGATTACGCTAAGATGCGCATATATAAAGCTTGTACAATTGCGCATATAAAGCTTGTACGCTCATTTGAGGCAGATTTTTTTTTTATTTGATAAGAAAATGTGCATAAACTATGATGGAAACACATTTAGCGAATATATTCCTGGATGCACAACAAAAAACTGATCTGCTTCAACTGGATAACTGGACTAACGTGCAGACCAATCACATTCCAAACCATCTAAAACATTGTTTTATTCAGTCTGAAAAGTCAAAGTCTGTCACCAAAAAAGCGCCAATGGGAGTGGAAAGTTCTGTGCGTGATCTACTAACAACGCGCAAATTAAAGGGGTCATATAATGCCATTTTTGTACAAGCTAATATGATTCTTTAGGGTCTAAATTAAAGTTTGTAATATACTTTAATTAAAAATTCTCATTAGTATTGTAAGAAAACAGTTATTTTACCTGGTCAAAAACAGCTCTGTTTTCAGCACGCCGTTTCAGTGCATATATGCCTTTAAATGATAATGAGCTTTGCTCACCCCGCCTCTCTGTTCTGTGCGTACACGTTTGTAACACAATAACCATAACGCGTTGTTCAGTATAAACGTGGGATTATGAATTATATTGAGAACGTCGTACATAGAAAACATGCCGTAATGTACCCTGAGTGTAAACCTTAGACGCATTCATCGTGAAGCGTTTAAGCGATTTGCAAAGATATAAATATTAATATAAAGGTTAATAAAACGTTCCACTCACTTCAGTTTTCTGGAGATTCAGCAGGAACACGAATAGTTGGTACTGATCCTTTATTCAGGAGCAGCTTCTTAGCAAAACCAGCTTTATACTGACCCTCCTCGTTTATAAAGCAGTCTGCTGAGAAATGATTCGCGCAAACATGAACGCATTGACGTTGCTCGTGGGGAATATTCCCTTCGAAAACAAAACTCAGCCACTGCGTCTTCAGCGGTTCGGATTTAGGAACATTAAAATGACTGCTGTGTTCGTTATTACACCCAAGAACAGAACACCACAATCGCTTAGACGCCATTCTGCTCATAGACAGTGCTCCAGCATATCAACAATGACCGTGCCGGTCCGCGCAGACTATGATTGACAGCTCGCTCACGAGCGAGGGCGGGTCTGTGTTGAGTGTGACGTCACACGGTCGAACGGCTCGATTTGAGGCAGGGGAAAACATATAAGGAGATTAAAACAAAAACACTGGATGGATTTTTATCATTATATGATGGTTGTGTACAGGCACTGCCAACACACATTTCAGTACAATCAACTTGAAAAAGTGCATGTACCATTATATGACCCCTTTAAAGAACAGACAAAGCCGGATCATTTCCATAATGACTAACGCAATCTACCAACAACAGCGCAAATTAGCATCTGGTTTAAGACATGCTTTTTTTGGGTGGTAAATAATGGCGGAAAAAAAATCAGTATATTAACTAGTGCAAACCTAAGTAAATCACCTTGCGTTTAAATACTCTCCTCCCATAAATTTTGCATCTGAAAGGGAAACTATTACAAATGCATATGCAATAAATCACGCCTTTTCAGCGGCAATTTTTCACTGCGTGTCTTTAGTAAATCCTGACAGTAGTTTTCTAACGCCAAAAAAAGAGGGTGTTTGCACCGGCGCAAGCTGTTAGTAAATTCGGGCCTTGGTTTCTAAACATTAGGTATTTGCCTCCAAACACAAGATCACATGACATCTTTTTTTTTTATTGTATTTCATCTACTCGCTCTGAGGCCCAAGCAATTTATTATGTACGAAAAGAGTGTCACAGGCTTCCCTGGTTCCAGCAACTTTTTAGTATTTTATTATTGATAGTTTATGCCAGTTTCCCAGGAAGTGAAGTTTTTTTCCTCTTGAACACATGGTATGGAAACGGTTTATACTTATATCAGAGAAGGCAAGCGCATGTTTTCAGTTGGTCAAAAGTCTATATATGTTGGTGTGTCTCCTGCTGTACATAACTGACTCATCACGGTTGGCCTGGCCCTTATTAGGGATGTTAAGGTCCTCACGTTGTCTTAGTGCTGTCTTTTTGTCTCTACAATGGGCCTGGTAGCCCACTAACCGCCAGGACATGGCAAACACAATAGGCCCAGGCAGGCGGAAAATAGAACCACTATCCCATATTTCTAGACTTGGGGTTATGCTGCAAGGTCCACGCTAACAAATTCTGTTACGCTTTCACAACCAATTATTTTCATGCAGATGAACACTAGGCTTCTCAGTAGTGCTTTGTCACTTGAGCAGGCTACATAGAAGAGGCAGAATGTATTTAACTAGAACCATTGATCTTTATTTCTCTGTTAAATGATTACAGTTGTTTAAATAGAGTTAAGGATTTGGTAATGTGGCTACAAGTGTTGCTGTGGTTATGTATTTGCATTAACTATTTTAGTATCAAATCCAACAGTGTGAGAATGAAGTCTAACTTTACAAAAGAAAAATTATGTAGCCTATTTACTATTGAATGATTTTTTTAGTCTATAGTTTTGCTTCAGATGAAGCCTTTATACAAATGGTCTAAATTCTGTTTACTATTGTCTTTTTAGGGCTACTTTACAGCAGGATTGAATCATTGAATTTTGCATCATTGAATCATTTTTCTGTTTATCCCTGTAAAGCTGCTTTGAAACAGTCTGTATTGTATAAAGCGATTGTATAAATAAAGGTGACTTGACTTTAAATATTTGAAATCGAAACACACATACACACACACACATACACCCCTACCCAAAAGAAACACACCCCTCCCTTCATCCCCCCCCAAAATAATGAACATGCTATGCAACGATAACAGTATGGATGAATCAGCTGTGATTCAACAACAACAGCAGCATATCTTGGTTCTGTGAAACATGGCAAAACCAATGTTACTTATCGAGCAGAAACAAAGCAAACTCGGTGTCTGTTTTCAGGCCTTCTCACACTCTAATATCTCTCCAGCGTTGAAAAGCTTTTTTAATATTAACGCAGGTCCTCTTGCCTTATCGTAACTCTTCTTTGCCTGATCGTAACCCTCTGTGGTAATATCTCAGCCATCTCTCTTTCAACAAATGTCCCGCTTTCTCACACTCTTTCCTTCCCCATCATGAGCGTATATGCCACTATTGCGGTGACCGGTCCGATCCACTTTTTTCCCTCCTATTTACACAGCCAGGACTAAGTGCAACATGATTTTTTCTTCAGCACACACAGACAGAACAGACATCTAGCAAATATTCACAAAATGGTTTGTTCCGTTGTTGATTTCAATTTTCAACTGCTTTTCTCAAAAATCGCTTACTGCACCTTTTAATCTTAACCTATAAAACTGAAATGAGACTTATTCATGTATAATCTCACCTAGTTCAGGTGCCTTGCTGAGGACAAAAGCATAGGCCCAGAACTTGCTGACTGGTCCGTTGTAGAAACTCTGATCGCACACTGACTGCTTTAGGCCTTTGGTCATCAAGATGTTCATCATGTAGCCTCCGGTTCTGATGGCACCAAATATACTGAAGAAGGAGGTGCAACAAACAAAAGAGACATTTAAAATCAAATACAATCGACTTTTTAAATAGTGTATATTACTTTATTTGACTGTTAGGACTCAGGGCATAGCATTACTAATAACAATGCTTTATTCAATGCTTTATGGCTGAGCAGTTACTTGGCACTCAGGTTCCAGTTTTAGGTTTCTTATAAAGCTGCCAATGGCTGGATCATGTGAAAAACCTGGAAGTGCGAGGTAGCCTGTGTCACCCCATTTCTACAGTAAATATAGTGCTGATCTTCACACATAGCAGAGTGTGTGATATGTTATATCATTGTGCCCTTTACTATATAATTTAGATATCAATACAAAATCATATATGCAGGCCTCTTATGTACCATAAATGCAGGTCTTTATGAAGTAACTTGGAACGAGGAAGTGGCTTGTTTTTCTGCCTATAATGAACACCATTAATCTGCTAAAACATGAAACAATTTATGAATACACAGTATTCACTGCAGTGTTGTATTGTAACGTGCAAAGCGACATCATTTAAAAAAAGAAAAAAAAAGAAAGAAAAAAAAGTCCATATCACATAAATGTGAATTGTCTTTCCATGTTGACTGTTTTTTTTAAACTATAATTTGTTAGCAAAATTGAGAAAATGACAAAGGAAGGAGGTCTCAAACTTTGCTTTCATCTTGTACTGCCATTGCATTATGACGTTTGATTTAATGTGCAGTGAAATCTTTGTAGTGTCTGTGGTGTAAAAATATCACTCAACTGTCTGTGATAGTAATGACCTACACATTTCTAATTTACAGCAATATGTTTGAAGTAAGAAAATATGTTTTAGCATTAACAGGTGCTGTAGGCAAATGGATAGATGCATGTAATGTATGTATGTCAAATACACACACTCAAACATTTGCATGTAAGACACATGACCCATTTACCAATAGACATATTTACCTGAAGGCTGCAAGTGTTAAAGACCATAGTACTAAAGGTTTCCTCAACTCAAACTTCTCCCTTTGTTTCATTAAATGCCGCCCACCAAGTATGCAGGCAGCGTAAAGCGCAGAGAAGAGGAAGGACTTCTTCCTGTAAGGAGGGAGATGATAATAAAATTAGTATAGTCCAAGAAAACTCAAGTATCCATCCACAACAACCTTCAGTGTGTATATCTGCTTAATCAACTAGCTTTTCAAAAACTTTTCAAAGTCAGACTATATCAGTATCTTTATTATTTTGCTGATTAATTTTTAGAACACCAGAACCAATTATAAATCCTATATGGCATATGCAAGTGCTCATTTAACAGATGCTTTTTTCCAAACTAAATATTCATATGTATGTACAAAGTTTTTATGGAAACTGTGATACATTTTTTTTCAGGATACTTTGATAAATAGAAAGTAGCATTTATTTTAAATGGTGGTCATTTATAATGACACTTTTGATCAATTTAATGCATCCTTGCTGAATAAAAGTATTAATTTCTTTAAAAAATCACCCCAAACTTTTGAACGGTAGCATATTTTTAATGGCTCATATTTTAACTGAGAAAAACATTTCATTCACAAGCACTGCATTTTCTTTCAATTTGCATTTTGACACGTTGTGTCTGGTAACACACAAGCCTCATATTACATTGTCAAATTTGTAGACTTTGCATATGGTGAAAAGGCAAACTGGTCCTGTGACTTTTCTGACTATATTATAATGCAGTTATGTAGCTGTTAAAAAAAAACAAGAGAACAGCCAGAGGTTTTTTTTTTCTAACTCGCAATTCCAGTCTTAAAACATTTGCATACCGGTCTATATTGTGTACAGGTTTTGATATTATGCTTTTTCTTTTTTTATAAATATCACATTAAATCCTGATGTAATGCATTTGGCTCAGCAACTTTGTCCAAATGCATCAAACATTACATAAATATGTAATTGTTTCTATATTCATCACTTATCTTGCCAAAATGAAATAAACTGTTGTTGGAGCTTTTTATCACAAACAGCTTATTGGGCTTATTTTGACAGCTTGTGTTGCTTTTAGGAGCTCATATTATCTGGCAGTGCTGTACTGCATTATCTGGAATCTGGAGATATCCACAGTGCCGTCTAATTCATTTTTGAGGGCATTTTGATCCCCCTAAAACGGATTTACAATAATTTTGCTTCCATAACGCCCCATCCATGCCTTTTGAATGCCGAGGAAATTGCAATTGAAAGAAATTTCAATTTCACTGTGTTCTGGTGACACGGTTAGGAAACGTCTGTATATAAAGTAACTCCATTAAAAACATAAATAACGATAAGGGTACTAACATCACTATATTAAACTTCCAATACCAACATGAGAGCAATTTCATGGTTCTGTGCTAATTTTGATACCATGCTCACAAATTAAATTGAAACAATGGCATAGTAATAACTCAATTGTTCTATTGCTTGTAATTTCTTTTTGTTAAAGTACTTTGTTTTTAACACTAGTATCAAGTAAATATCAAATGAATCAACTTAAATTGTTGGGTAAATAGTCTGATATCTCATTTGATGCTGTTAAAGCAAAAACTGGCCTTTAATTAAAACGAACTGCGTTTCTTTTCACATCCCTATTGAAACATAAGCTTTAATTAATAATGACAGTATTTATTTTCAGTTAATGGCAGAAGTCCGCCAGATGGGAGCTTTGCCAGTCCAGCATCCAGCTGGCATTATGGGCCAAAACTAGGGCACGTCTTTCCCTGCCAGTATCATCTCCTGTGTGACTCTGTTCTCTTTCCAAGAAGCCAAATAGGTAAACGGGGAACCCTAGAGGTTCTTCTGGGTTTTAATCACCCATTGGATAACGCCTCAGACAATTCTTCTATACATAAATATTCAAATGATACACTGAATTAAGTCAAAATATAATGGAATATATAGTTCTAAGTGTCTTTGTACTGTTGTAATTTCTTCTTATTTTGTTACACATGACCTCTATAGGCTTGGGTGTAGGTTGTGAAAGCACAATGGGCATCATTTTATTTTTCTGTCTAGTGGATGTGAGAAACACTGACCTCACTCTGCTTATAACAGTGAGTCCATTCAATGTATACAGCCCCCTCCAACCTTGACTTGTCATTGCTTTGTTCTTTGTGTACAAAGGGAGACTGCAGCAGTATGCACATATATTATAGGACCGATTTATCAGTTATTAGAAGATTGAACTCTTGTTACTGGCTGCTATTTAGTTAAATGCACTGGTTATTGACACATTTCTTCACAGTGCCAGCTAGCAAGAAGCTTGTACTTGAGAAAACTGCTTCTGCTAATCCATTACAAACTTCTGTTTGCATGTCATTATGCATTCATTACGTTAGACACAGCTAGGGCTGGGTGACATAGCCAAAAAAAAAGATATTCAATATTTAAAAGGTTTTTGTTTTCAGTCAGAGGGACAATCATTTTGACTTTGACCAAACAGCCATTGTAGCCAATTAGATAGCTGTTTATTGCAATAAAATCTAGTTAAAAGCTTCTTGACATAATGAATTTTTTTTAATAAGAAGAAGAATATTTAATAATTTTCATTTATATTTTTTATGTGCATCCATATAACAATAAACTGCAATATTTACCTACACTACCCTTTTAAACATTTGTGGATTAAAAAAAAAAAAGGACGTCTCTTAGGCTGACCAAGGCTCCCTTTTTTTCGATCAAAAATACTATAAAATAATAACTATAACAGTTTTATTTTATTAGAATTTTTTTTGCATATTTTAATTTATTGCTGTGCTATCATTATCAATGTTAAAAACACTTGTGCTGCTTAATACTTTTGTGGGAACCGTCATAGATTTTTTTTCAGGATTCTTTGATAAATAGAACGTTCAGTTCTAATATTTTACAGTTCAGGTCAAAAACATTTTTGGAACATTATAAATGTTCCTTTTAAAAGTACTATCACTTTTGATCAATTTAATGTGTCCTTGCTGAAATAAGTTTTTTTTTTTTTTTTTTATGTAGTGTACATGTATTTTTATTAAGTCATATGGGGACTTCTGAATGATGAACCACTGAATCAGAGTTTTGAACCGATTCACTAAAATTAAACAAACTTATGGGTAACACCCTGTTTTTACTGAAGTTTATGGTATTAAAACATCTGTGAGACAATTCAGACAATTGATGTCTAATGACGTAATATTTAGGGAACTTATTTGTCAAATAAAAGGTGCATCACATCATTGTGATCACAATATAGCTTAATTCTATGTCTAATGATGTAATATTTAGGGAACTTATTTGTCAAATAAAAGGTGCATCACATCATTGTGATCACAATATAGCTTAATTCTATATATCCAGCAAAATAATATTTCCAGTATACAATATATTGTCCAGCCCTAAGATGCAGCAAAGACATGAATAAAGGTTATTTATTTAAAACTGGATGTTCAGATGGGTTACTGAGCTGTGCTGCAGTGAATGACAAAACAACATCACTCCCTTTTTTATTAGCAACATATCAGGAGACCTGTTTTGGGGAGAACTTCAAATATCCTGCTAGAGGAGTGAGCGAGTGAGTTATATGCCATACGGCTGCAGTAAAACCCTGCCTTAGTACTGACCATCCAATGGAGATGCGATAGACTATTCCCATCAGGCCTTGTTACTGTCAAAAAAAAAAAAGAGAAGAAAAAAGCAGAGCTCTAGCAGCTTCCATATAATGCACCGAAAATGATACAGAAAAGGTTGTAGAAGAGGAACCACACATATTTTATATCAGCAGAACAGATTCAGGTCTTGCGTCATCAACGCACAGTAAGTAGGTCTATTTATTGCAAGACCATCAATTCTTTGAAAAACTTCATCTGTGTTTTTGTCTATGCTCTCATTTTTCCCGCTGAGAGCATCAGACCTGCAGTGGACAAAGACTGATGGTGAAGTTACTTGCAAGGGATCACATCTGGCCCAAGCTGTTTGCGCTAGAAGTGCTTCCCAAGTCATTTAGAGCTACTAAATAAACTGAATCTGCAGCCTAATAGCAGTTTTAGACTAATGACGATAGCAGAATCTATTCTGCTAGATGCAGTGATTTTTAACCGAACGCAGCACAACGCTGGGCAAGTGCAGGATGGTATAGAATTCAAGCACAGAATATATTTTCTGTCAGAGCAAAACCTTGACGTCATGAGGACATGCAAAAAAAATGTATTCCATGTTAAGCTGCAAAATATAGATGCATAGTGAAATACTACTTTTTTTTTTTACAGTTTTCTGTCTAACACTCTGGGTGCGATAACATGCTTAAGACTAAACAAACCAACGGCTGATGTTATAAGTTTTGACATGGTGGAAAGGGCTTTAGCCAGAGGTATTTGTTTTTCTCCACTACCCTTTCTAAAACATCAAATGCAATCCCTTCTTCTGGGTTACTTGCGGTGAAAATAGAAACAAGGTGACTGCTCTTTCAGAGGTCAAATTTTGAAATTAATTTTTTTAGTGTGTGTGTGCTCTGAGATGAGCTTTTTTAGACTTTGAAGGTTGCAGGAAAAGCAAATCTACTTTATAAAGATAATCTATCAAGGCCAGTGGCGGTGTTTTTCGGAGACGGCATCTCACAATGTGGTGTAGTAAAGTGGCTGTCTGTATTTATAAGATTGTATTAAGTAGCATTTATTGTAGGGGACATCAGTTTGATGGTGCCAGGAAACTCTCTATTATCTGTCACTATTATGTAAACCTGGCAGTCCGTGTGGAATTCAGTCCACTTTTATTTATCCACAGTGTTTCTGTGCCTCCTGTCTGCTTGTCTTTTGAGAGACTGACTCTTACAATGAGATCTCATTAAAGAAACCTTTGGGCAGTGCAGTATAGTGAGGATAGAGGATAAAAATACTCCCAGATTAGAGATGACCTGTGGCAATCTTCACAACCTAAGGCTAATTCTCTCTGGTCAACCCAGACCAACACTAAACATGGCTCAATGCACACGCTATGGCAGCTCTGTCTTATTGATCTTTGCTGAGAATTGTTTTGCCAATAATAAAAAAAAAATATATATATATAATATATTTATATATTATATAAAATAATTTTTTTTTTTATAATTGTATAAGAACAGATGCCAATTTGGCTGTCTAGTATGACTCAGCACTGTCAAATATTAATGAACTAATTTTACATGTCATGCTTTACATAACACCTACATGGCCTGTAAAACACATGCACACACTTTTACTGCAACATACAATGAATTTATGAGCACTGACGTGGCCGTTGAAATGCAGTAGTTAGTACTTGGAGTAAGTTGGAGTAAGAGAATTTGAAATATACTTCCAATAAATGGGCCTCTTGAAAATATCTAGCATTTTTCCCCCCGTGTTTTTTAAAAGGTTTTCTGTACCCTGTACTGTTGTTCATGAGGTACTCGAAATAATAAAAAAATCTCTCTAATTTTAACAGCCTTTGTTACCTATAAAAAAAACAGGATGCATTGAACATTTGAGGTGATAATTATATCCAAATCTATAATCAAATCATACTTGAAGATCTTTTCTTCACAGAACTTCAGGAAAGTCTGTGCTGAAGCAACTGTGCTTGCCTTGCATAAATAAATAATGCGAAAATTGTTTATCAGAGCTGACATTTCTGTTTCCCTGATCATCAGGAAGATGTACGAATGGATCCTGTGGTGTTGCAGTCATTAATCACAGAACGGAACGTGGGATTATTAAAGAAGAGACGTGCCTAGCAGCTTCTTTTCAAATCCAAACGGGATGGGTTCTGAAAAATGCTTTTCAAGCAAATGTTTACACTCTTTATCTATGCATTTCCCTCGAATGCAAAAGAAGCAATTATACAATGTGAATTACCAAGATGATCTATAGTCTTAAAAATGCTGAGTTACAGTACAGCTAATTAGTATTTAACCCCTTTGTTCATCCCCTCACTCGGCCGAATGACTTTTGTGCAAACAACCAAAGTCTTTGCCAAAGTATATAAGGGTTTTGGGACTAAATGCTATTTAAAGGGATAGTTCACCCAAATTTTTTAATTTTGTCCTCACTTAACCGCAAGTTGTTCCAAACCTGTATAAGTTTCTTTCTTCTGTTGAACACAAGAGTATATATTTGGTAAAGAATGTTGGTAATCAAACAGTTGATGGTAGCCATTGACTTCCATAGTATTTTTTTTCCTACTATGTAAGTCAATGGCTACCGCCAACTGTCTGGTTACCAACATTTTTTTAAATATCTTCCTTTGTGTTTAACAGAAGAAAGAAACTCATACAGGTTTGGAACAACATGAGGGTGAGTAAGTGATGACAAAATCTTTATTTTCAGGTGATCTATCCATTTAACTCAGTTCCTACATCCCTGCATCTGGCCAGATCTGGCTCATTTTGGACATGACATGAGCCTTCATTCACCTGTGTTGCAATGCAAACATCATCTGCCTTCCCTTATAGTGCAGTGAAAGATTCTAGTCCAGTTCTTCTAGTCTAGTCTGACCAGGGGTGCCCCGGTAACATTTTCCTGATAAATTATTGTTTGATGAGGTAGGTAATGTAACTCTGAGAAAGTACATTAATGTAGAAATATAGCATGTGAAATTACATTACAAAGGGATGAATGTCTTTTATATTAGTCTAAAGCCAATGATCTGGTAGTTTAGTACCCTGATAAATTGATAGGAAGCATAAATAAAAATGGCCACGGGATGTTTCACTGTTTCCTAACAGTTCTGGCCACGGGATGAATAAACCTCAAAGTTGGAACAGTAAAAAAAAAACTAGATAGGCCTAATAACGGCAAGGGCCATTATCATTATCTTACTCATAAAGTGACTACAAGTAAGTATTGTGACATGGAAATTGTGACTGTTTTAAGTTACCTAAACACCAGGAAAGAAGCATGATTTTAAAGCCTGTGTTGAATTGATATTAATGACTTGTGCTGCATGATTGAATGGGTTGTCAGATGCCTATCTATGTATGTATAGGAGTATGCATTGTTGGTGTTTATTTTTACAGTGATAGTTTACCCCAAACTTACTCTGTGGAACACAAAAGGGGATGTCAGGTAGAATGACAGTTACCATTCAGCATTACTGCATCTTTTTAGATACAATGAAAGTGAATGGTGACTCAGGTTGTCAATCTGCCTAAAATCATATTTGGTCTTCTATTGAAGACAATAAGCATAGTAAAGAGTTTTAAAAAAGGGTTTAGAATAAATAATTAAATAATTATAATGTTTAAGTGAACTATCCCTTTAAATCTGCATTTCAGCGTTGTACAGTCATAAACACCATTTCCTTCGCATTTAATTTTTAAGTACGGACAGGAAACCGACAGGCTGAAGTGATCAACAAAACAAAATTAAGCACATTACAACTAAAAACGTACTTTAAAGACAGTCGGTGTTGCTCTCCACACAGGAGGGGTACAAGATGACAGATGTGATGCAAGCATCCCCGAGAACTCGGCACAGTGACGCGGAAACATGATTGGTCAGATTTGTGTCAGCAGACATCAACATCCACATCTCATTGGTTGCTATGAATTATTAACCACCAGCACTTATCCGTCTCCAAACGCGCTACAGAATTACAAAAGCGTGACATTGATGCAGCGAGTAATCGTGTCGACGTTACCATGTGTCAGACACTATTAACAAGCAGCACAATTTCTCACGAGAGAAACGTGCCAAATGTGCAATAAACAGCGATGATTTCTGCCATTAACAATAGAATCAAGCTTACGTATGGAGCAGGGAATCTAATAACGCGTCACTTGCATGTCTGTTATTCAAATGATTACCTGTATTATGGCGTTTCCATTTGCTACAGACATTGTGGGCTAGGCTAGGCTTTGAGTTTGTGCTAGTGATGGGAAGTCATACTCGTTTTCGCGAATCGGTTCTTTTGAACAGTTCGTTTAAGAGAACCGGTTCAAAACTAGTATTTACGTCATGGCGTGATTGTCACCTCATGGTCCCTGACATAACATATTATAATGTTAGCCTACAATAAAGTCATATTCATGTATGTTTATTACGTTTCTTAATTATGTTTTAGGCTTATATGGTGCTCATTGTAATTCTTAAGTTTATTAAAACCAATTCATAAAATCAACTCGTCAACACATTTTGTTGTATTTGTAACATTTTAAAGCTTTAAAAAAAGACTATGTCGTTCCGTTAGTCAAATAATTCACTCGAAATCAGTTTTTGGCAATTACAAATCGGACATATTGAAAGGAACCGACTCACGGATTAATGAATCGTTTAGTTGTTAACCTCTCGGATGAATCCCGTCCGATTCGTGAGCATTTTCCAGACCGTTTTTGTCAACCGCTTCATTTGGAAAGATCCGAATCTAAAGAACGATTATTTCACGAATCGGACATCGCTACTTCTAGCAAGCTATTTAATATAGGGGTACGACTGATTTGAAACATACATTCAGTTTTGTTTACGGGAAGAAAAAAAATCGAATAAACGTTTGCGTGCAATCTGAACACGCGAGGCATCCTAGGATGAAAGTTCCAATTGTCACGAAAGGGCATAATCAGAGCACCACCTTGAAAAGGCTTTGCATCTGATTAGAGCAACGATGCTTCAAATATAGCATCGCTCATTACACGAAGAACATTGAGAGGTTGAATAGAACACGATGCTGAAACAATATTGATGAGTCTCGAGGGGAAATATCACACTGACTGTGCAAATACCGTGGTCTGGTTGGCAGCCCACCTGCCAGTGACTTTCAAGAGCCCCCCGTTTTAGAGCATTATGATTAATGCATGGTTGAAATATTTAATATGCTAGTCAGTCAGTGCAAAACAGGTACACGAGCTATCTGATGATACAGCTGGGTTTGTAGGCGTGATTATTATGGTCCAGAATATTTATCATGCAGCAGAGCTAGCTACTGTACCAGTTCTCTTGCATCCATCGAATGGCTTCATCTTCATTGAATTGCCTCTCGAATTCGTATTCTTGCAAAGCCAGCACCGACATGGTCTCTCGTCCTTTAAACGCTTACTGAAGAACGTTAGCCTCTTTGGCGACTAAATGAGTTGAGTTTCACGGATTTCCTAGCTATGTCTCGCAGGCTCAGCTCCAGCCTTGCCCTCGCATCGCTCTTGCCACCCCCAGCACATTGGTTGAGTTGTTCTCGAATGTCAGCCTATTTAACTCTCAGCCCGTGCCGGCATACGCCCTCCTCTCTTCTGAGGAAGAGGAGCGCAAGGTCCTAATGCCGCAGAACTGATGCATCCTCCGGAGCTGTCGTCATCTCAGACTGCGATGACCTTTGGCATATATTCATAAACGAGGCATTTTTCATCATTTTCAGTCGATGTTCAGACTCTAGGCTACACTTCTTATGTGTGAACATAGATCAACTGTCACTATATCAGCTTAACATGTATTTCTCATGTAAACAAAACCAATCCATCATTTACAGGTTCTTAAACCCGGTGACCTGGATTTTCTCTTTAAATATATATTTTTACATTCTTTAGTGATAGACAGGTAGGCCTAACTGTACCACTACTGTACCACTATTAAAAATAAAAATGTAGCTACTTGTATAAAAATAATAATATATATATTATATATATATAAATAAAGAAAATTCTATTTTATGCATGGATCTTCATTGGCCCAAGGGGTTAAAAACCAAATGACGTAGACTTGTATATTCATCTCACTTCACTTCACTTCATCTTCAATTCATCTCATCTCACTAGTTCTTTACAGTTTAAGATACATTTATCCTAGATTATAAGAAATTAAATGTTTAAAAAATATATATACACACTACCAGTCAGAGGTTTGGGCTCACTTAACAAAATATATTTGTCATGATCTTAAGCATTTAGATCAAATAGTTTTTAAGAATTAGTTTTGCTGACACAAATCAATTTGGCCTTCGTAATAAAATCCATTCTTGAATATTTAAGCAGTTTTTCTTGAATAAGTTGGTTGGACCAGATAGTGTTCAGCATGCATGGAAACTCCTAAAAACATATCGGGCACCTGATGAGATTTATACTTTATATATTTTAATAATCTAAAATATAAGAGTTTGATTTGTTTAGCATTTTTGGTCACTTCATCATTTCCATAATTCCATTTGTGGTGTTTGACTTAACTAATTCTAAAATGTTGAAAATGGTAATAATAGGCTAAAGAATAAGGCGTGTACAAATTTTCATTATTTGTTTTCCTAATTTATTAATGCATTCAGAAATATGTAAAGCATAAACCTATGACAATTATACAACACAGGCCTATATCTAAATTTCCCATTGCAAGAATGATTTCAGAAGCGTAGGAACTACTCGGTTGTGCCAGGCAAAGTTTTTATTCAACCCATGCAGGGTTATCAGACTATTATGTAATATGTACACTCCTGTACATTATGCTCACCAAGGCTGTATTTATGTGATGAGAAATACAGTAAAAACTGTAATATTGTGATTTATTTTTACAATTTAAAATAACTGTTTTCCATTTGAATATATTTAAATGTAATTTATTACTGTGACGGCAAAGCAGAATATTCAGCAGTCATTACTCCAGTCTTCAGTGTCACATGATCAGTCTTTTGAATATGCTGGTTTGATACTAATAAGAAAAGTGACTTGAGCACCACAGCTGATGAACAGGCATGCTGCTCAAATATGTTTGTTTATATTTTTGTAAACTTTGGTAAATATAAAGATAAAAAAACAGCATTTATTTGAAAAAGTATTTTTTGTTACATAAGTGTCTTTACTGTCACATTTGGTCAGTTTAATGCGTCCTTGCTGAATTAAGGTATTCATTTCTTTCAAAAAGTTGTACTGACCCCAAACTTTTGAACGGTAATGTATCATTGGTGGCATGAGGAATGCCGCTTTCTGCTGTCATGCCCTGCCTGCTATTAAGTTTGATTTCCAAATCAATAAGTATTGAGTATCATTCCTGATCACAAAACAATATTTGATGTTGACGGATGCTCATTCTTTTATTATTATTATTTTTTTTTTTGCCAAAAAGTCGAATTATTCTTCAGTTATTGGTGCCGGGAAACGGATAAGCAGGTGCAGGAGTACTCTAAAGGTAAAAGATCAGAGCCAACGCCCCTGCATGGAGGAGAAATGATTTCTTTGTCTGTTTTGGCGTGGAAGAAATCCACAGAAATGAACTAAATGGTTTCTTGGATGTATGCCTATGGGCTTGGCCTGTAACATCCACAGGTGTTAAAGTTTCTTTTTTTCATCTTAGAAATATATCCAGATTACGGCCCATGCTGTCTTTTCCTGTAGCTGAAAAATGAATTAATACTGTTTTTTTCAAGAATTGATTACTGCAATGCCTTGTTAGCAGGAGCATCAAAATCTATTTTGAATAAACTTCAGTGGGTACAAAACTCTGCCGCACGTATTCTGACTAGGACAAGACAAAGGGATCATATAACACCTATTTTAGAGACCTTGCATTGGTTACCTGTTAAATTTCGTGTTGATTTTAAAATTCTTATGTTGACGTACAAGGCATTGAATGGACTCGCTCCTCAATATCTCGCCGAGCTTTTAATGCCCTACATTCCGACACGTAATCTTCGCTCCGCCGATGCTGGTCTCTTAGTCGTTCCGGTAACGAATCGAAAAACAATGGGTGATAGGGCGTTCTCTTCAGTTGCCCCAAAGTTATGGAACTCCTTGCCTTCCGAAATAAGATTTGCACCATCTTTGAAAAGGTTTAAATCATCCCTTAAAACTCATTATTTTACGGAAGCATTTGGATAAAGGTGATATTGGTGGTTGTTAGGGGTGTAACGGTACACAAAAATCACGGTTCGGTACGTACCTCGGTTTTAAAGTCACGGTTCGGTACGTTTTCGATACAGCAAAAAGTAAGAAATGCCAGAGAAAATTCCTATTTGTTAAAAAAAAAAAAATTTTTTAAATAAGTTGAGTTTTCCTACATCTTGAAACTTTCAGGTTTATAAATGGGTGTCATCTTTGAAGGATGAACAAATAATGTTTTGGTCATCACATTAAAAATAACATTTAAATATATGAAGAGTTCAGATGCAAAAGCCATTTGAAATTTTCTTTATTTTTATCAAGCTTGTATATTTAAGTTCAGTAATTTCACTTAAATGGCAATGAAGATTACCTATTAATTGTCATTTGAGTGAAATTACTGAACTTAAATATACAAGCTTCATAAAAATGATCATTCTAGAAGAAAATTTCAAATGGCACTTAGAGGCTTTTGCATCTGAACTCTTCATATATTTATTTATATAATATTTGAGTTTTGAAGTGCTGGAAAAAGATGTGTGAAGTACTTGAAAGCATTTCACTATTCCAGCCAAACTGGTTACAGTTATGGTGCATGTTGCTGGTCTGTGGACGTAAAGTATTACTAACTTAGTTCATTCACGGCACAATATTTCTCCTGGTGTCCACGTCAGCGCTGTTTGATCTAATAGAGATCTACGGTTAATAACGGAGAAATGTGAATGCTTCTCACTAGATCTCGCAGCGATGTTATTACTTCAGTGGCGAATTCAAATGTTTTCTTTACTGGATCTTAGCGCTGTGTAGTGACAGTGTCGCTTGATCGAGATCGGCTCGCGCTGCACAGATGTTGCTGGTCCGAACTCCGAACTGATAAACGATCCGTGAAGCACATGAGTAGCGCAGTTTCGTTCCGCTTTCTTTACGCTTGCCATTTGATGTTGCGCAACGTTGTGGTGGTCGCGCGAGCGCGAATTTTGTCGGTAGGAAAAATGGTCCAAGGAATCGTTCGGTTTGTATGCGTACCGAACCGGAAGCCTCGAACCGAAACGGTTCAATACGAATACATGTACCGTTACACCCCTAGTGGTTGTTAATGAGATGTATCTTATGGTTTTGTCTATGTCTTGATATTTATTTTTAATTTGTTTTTAGGTTTGTAATTTTGTGCGAAATACTTGTTTGTATTTTGCGACCATGTCTTTTTTTTATGTGTTTTCTTATTTCCGCTCATGTAAAGCGCTCTGAGAATTAACTTTTAAAAGTGCTATACAAAATAAAGTTATTATTAGGTGTGTCCACTATATACATAGTAAGCTTAAATTACACATTTAAAGGGATAGTTCACCAAAAACGATTTACTCGCCATCAAGTTGTTCCAAACCTGTCTGAATTTATTTCTCCTGCTGAAGATTGTCAGTAACCAAACAGTTGATGGACCCCATTGACCTCCATTGATTTTTTCCCCCATACTATGGAAGTCAATGGGGCCCATCAACTGTTTGGTTACCCACATTCGTCAAAATATCTTCTTTTTTGTTCAGCAGAAGAAAGAAATTCATACAGGTTTTTTTTATATTTTTTTGTGTGAACTATCCATTGGAGCTTATATTAAAATGTTATTAAAAAAGATCATCATAGTTTACTTTAACTTCTTTTTGAAGTGACTGAATAAGCCACTTGCTTGAAAAATAAGAACAAGTGCGAATCTCTGCAGAGAAATGCACAAATAGCCAAACTACTGTGCACACAGGCTCTGTATTTCTCTGATGTCATTACTGCTGTTTTCATAAATGACATATGAATTCAAATGCATGTGTCAATGGCACTTACATGAGCTTATTTCAACTCATGGGGACAGGACTTGTATTGATTCTAGGGACCACAATTGATTCAACTTTAGGAACAGTTCACTTTAGGACTATCATGTGCTCTGTACAGGTGAAGAAGTTCAGCAAGTTCAGCTAACAGACTTGGAGGGAGACTGCAAGTGAATTAAAGTCAGAGGGTGTGGCTAAGAGAATGGATGTGAGTCACTCACAGCGGAGAGAGGAAGTTAGTCAATGACAGATATCAGATGTCCGATTTTTAATTTATCTGTCAAAATGTGTGATTACACTATTTTAAGGTGATGCAGTTACATTGTACTTACTCTAATGCGTTCTGAGTAATAATTAGCTGCATGTAGTTATTATAGAGTTACGGTTAGGGTTTTGGTTAGTTGCTTGTAATTATGCATATTTTACTGTTATTATAGTAAGTACATGTAGTAACATAGCCTAACTCCATCACCTTAAAATAAAGTGTTGCCAAATATGCCACTACTTACTTTTGACATTTATGATTTTGATCTCATGGACAATGAATATATAGGCCAAATGATTGATGTCTAATTATTAAAGCATTACAGAAAGTCCAAATTGATA